TTAGCGTAGTAAGAGATCAACCGACCAATTTCGCGAGACTTCAAATGAGGCATTGGCGTTCTAAATACGTAGTCCTAATATTTTTTTTTTTCGGACAGATTCATTCAGAAACCTTGAAGGAACAAGGTGCATTTTTTATTTTTTAATTTGTTGCCAAGATTGTTTGTTATTCGACTGATTTTTGGATTTATTAATTTATTCCTCTGAAAACTCAACAAGCTGAATTTTCAATAAATAAAATTCTTAAAGATATTCAAAGAAGTTTATTCTGAAATTATTCGGAAACAGACTGTGATTCAAGTGAGAAATTATTGTTATTCATACATTGGACTACATCTGACGTCATCACCTTCGGGACTCGAGCCTGGATTCTTTGAAAACTATTTAGTGATAGGACTTGTGTTTTCATTCTTAGGATCACATTTTGGATTATATTCACAGATTGTAGGTTCTATTTAACAATTTTTACATTGTTGTCTAGGAAGATAAATTGTTTTGTTAAAATATACAAAGCTTGTTGGCTTTCATTATTTTCTTTGTTACTGAGTGCGAGCACTTGTCACGTAACAATATAAAGAGTTGTTTTGTTTCAATTGGTAATAAATGTTACAAGGTTTGGAGTAGAGAAGTCTATCTGATATTTTATCTATCGTTTTAGGATTTGTTCTCACGACCGATTGATATATGGCTGCAAAAAAATGTTACTAAATGGTGTGAATAAACTACTACTCATGCCTGTTACTGACACTGGAAACTGGTGTAAAAATATGCACATATTCAGATTGATTTGAGATTTTTAGATTTATTTGAATTCTTTTCAGTAACAGTAAATACTTTATTATATATATATATATATATATATATATATATATATATATATATATATATATATATATATATATATATATATAAGATCTTGCACTCACATTTTATCAGAAACAATTAAGTTAACATATTTATAAAGGAGGTTTATGGTGGATTTTTGGTGGTGCATGGACCAACCATCACCAGTTGAACTTTTGCATGTTTATTTGTTTCTAAGACCAATTCAGTGGTCAGTTACAAGAAAACGCCTCTTGTGCACATATTACATAGCTTGTAGCTGCAGTACATGCAAGTAGTATAGTATGGCATGTTAGGGTCATTTTGAATGTCATAAAGACGTTCCAAATTATGCCTTCATATAATAATAAAGCTAAATAACACTGCTCTCAAGACCAATATTTTCACTCAGTGCATTGGGAAAGCCCAGGTCAAGTCAGTGATAGGGCTAGCAAATTTGTAATATTTGCCATTGAAACTGATGAATTTATTAATGTGTGATTATAAGGATAGCATTCCAATAATAGATGTAAATAATATTGTGCATATTTTGCTACATCACAATTAGCTTTTGATTCCCATAGAGAACCTATGAAGAAATTCAAAATGCAAGAAAAAAATATCTTTTTTGTTATGTTTATTAAATTTAATTGTGATTCGTATTTAGGAAAATACACCAAAATATATGTCACTATTTCAGGCACATGGAAAATGTGCTTGTGTTACATGAGGTACTCAGCAATTTTGTGTCATTCTGATGAGCATAAATGACAAGCTTAGGGACTTGTATGAAGACAAACTTTAAGACTAGTATTTTGATAATACAAATATTATACACAGCTCATGCAGGCTTACAGTAAAATAATTTACACAAGGTTTAGGCTGTTGAAGACTATCTCAAGTGTCTAACTTTGCTTATTTAAAAATTTTTGTGTGGAGTAGCTATAACAATTTGTGTGCATTGCTGTGCCCATGGTATTAAATGTGCTATGTTAATCAGAAGTCTTTTGAACAGGAAATCTGCAAAGTCATATAGAGAAAACTTGTTGTATATTAAGACCATGAGCAAAACAAACAGTTATGCAGTGATATCATACTCAAAGTGGATGAAATTCTTTGCCTTAAGCAATGCAAAAAAAACCCAAACACTATACATGTACTGCCTTCAACATCACAATACCCTGAGACTATGCAACCACAAAAGAAGAGTTGCATCTCTTTGTATGTTGGAATGACAGGAACAGCAGGAACAATTACATGTGCCAAGCCAACACAAATCAAAGGACTCGTAAGAACAATATATGCCAGACTTTAACCTCCAGTAGTCCCAGTTCAGTTATTGCAAGTCAGAGGTCACAACTTATAGTTTTTCAAGTAGATATTATAGTACGAGTTCTATCCTGTTGACCTTTACAGACCATATCAGGCTGGTGGTAAAATGTTGCCCTTTTTTTAACTATCCCAGTGCAAACAAGTATTGCACCAAGATAGGTGAAGGCATGTGTTCAAATTCGAAACAGACAGGCTATGTCATTGATGCTGCAGGTGTTGCCCGCACTTGTGTTTCATAAATGGCCTTGCTATTTAGGGTTACCAATATGGCTGGCAGTGCCAAAACCACTCAGTACTGTGTGAGCTTGTAGCAGCAGAACCACTCCATAACCAACCTTATAGGAGATGATACGTTGCTCCGCCTAACAAATCTCGTTAACCTCTGATAAGCATGCAGCATTTGGCAAAGAAATATGTTTCAGTGTGAGGAATGTCATGGTTGGGGTGGGGAGCTCCCAATGTTTTGTTTAAATTATTATAGAAGTTCACTGAGGCTCTATTTTGTTGGAAGCTAAATTTAGTGAAAGATAGATGTAAAGTTTCAAGCCCCAGTCAGCAATGCTGACGGTTAAATAGTTAAATACATGTATACTTAAAAGGTTGAAATTCAATAAATAACAAGTTAATAACAATTCAATACGTAAAATTGTGTAAGAGTGACACTAGCTGGCAGCAATCCTTAGACATCCAACACATTGCTGTGGTAATATTACCAAGAAAGATGGATTATAGTTTAAACATGACATTATAGCTTGGGCTTTGCAAACGTGACATTCAGTTTAGGTGATATGTTCATAAAAAAAATTGTTCACATTATTCTTCATAATGCAAAAATAGAAAATTGCATAGATTATACTGCAGTAGATGATATTTATATTTGTAGTTCAAGTTCATTTAGTAGTAACTTAAGTGTTTTATTTCAGCAAATAAAAATCAATTTTAAAGTTTCTTGACATATTATTCATGTAGAAGCGAATTCACTCCAAAAGATGCTAATGTATTAATTTATAATCCTATCCTTATTAATTTTATCAAGCTTATGTTTCTGCTGCCCTGGAAATAAATGAATTAAACATTAATAACAAAATCTGAAATAATCGTGTTTAGAAGAATACTGTTGTATATACTAATTTTAAAGTTCAATTATTTTCGTCAGATGGAATTTTGATCAATGGTATCTGTTGATAGAAACATGTACATGAACTCCATTGAAAAGATCTATATTACTGGGGGTGGGAGAATTATTTATCAAGCCAAGAATTGACATTAATAACTGTTCTTATTTATTGTGACATTTTATATAAGAACAATGAAATAAAACGTTCTATAATAGTTAATTGCCTGCATCATTTTCAAGCAATGTACAATGCACCACTGTTACACTCAATTGGATGGTGAGCATTGTGTAATAATGGAGGCAGTGCGTGAAATCCAGTAGATGTCAATAGTGCAAAGTACTGAAATATTGGATTGATTCTCCAAGGTGCATATATCATATTAGAATCGTAGCTAATGAAGATGTGCATAAAGAGTGAGGCAACATATGATAAATGGCATTTACTAATTCAAGTAAATGAATGTATGTGCATGTGTGTGTCTGTGATCAGTTAAGTTAATGTAAAAACAGCATCAATACATTTTCTTGACATGCAGAATGACATCCATTTAGAAATAACTTTTACCAGATTGTTAAGCCTTGGGGCTTAACATTCATTTGTTGCTGTGTGGATAGTCATATTTTGGACTTGTTTTAATGCATTAACAATAAGCTTAACTTCATAATACTATATCCATTTAGGACCAACTGCATACAGTGAGAGGTGTTTTAGCGAAAAATCCCAAATTTGCTAGTATCACCCTTTCAAGAGTAAAAGTGATAAAAATCACTGGTCACTATTGACCAACACCACTTTAATTTGGGATTAACTACATTTCCTACAAAGATTTTAGTGAAAACCCCATATTTCTAGGATCATCGAGTCTGGTTACATTTTCAATCTGCTATCATGCCAGCAACATTAAATTTTAAGTTCAATTTTCAATATCGCTATCACATCAGTGATGTCTTTCATCATTTTGAAAGTCCTGCAATCACTACAGCTGATTGTCATAAAATGTCTCATCAGTCTGTACTGAAAGTGGTGCAAATCAGAGGTCCATTTTGAGTAATTATATGTGGTACTTGAGGGTCAAATATAGAACTGAGTAGGAGGTAAAACTGTCCATTGTTACATTGTATATTGTTACATAGCTGTAGAACTGACCTCAAACAGGGCTTCATCTTTTACATTGTTGACCTCAAATGGCACACACGCAAAGATAATATCCTATACACAGTATATTTTTCATTACAGCCTAGTGGTTTTCTATATATATATATATATATATATATATATATATATATATATATATATATATATATATATTTATATGTGTGTGTGTGTGTGTGTGTGTGTGTATGTATGTGTGTGTGTGTATGTGTGTGTGTTAATACCAGATATATTAAATTGTGTGGTACAAAAACCTGATATTTTAATGAGTGGAAAAGCCACAAGTGAAGATATATCGATTTGTTCCACAAGTTGAAACATTTATGGTCTTTTACAAAGTAAAAGAAAATATTTTCATTATATATCAAACTTGCTATGTGATCAAAGCTAAGATTAAATTCACTCATTAGCACAACACCCAACCCACTCTGCACAATAGCTGCTAAATAAGCAATTGATATCTGGAGATTTACTATCCAAATTTGAATGTTGTCCCTATGCCAACTAACTCGGAAGTTGTGTCTGCATGTTAACAAAATAGTATCAAACATTTTGCTCGACTCCTTCATTTATTACCGCTCTGGTGGCATAGTAGTTAGAGCATCTGCCTCAGATGTGGGAGGTTGCTGGTTCAAACCCAGTCTGAGTCATACCAACAAAAATGGTATGAACAGCTGTCTCGCTAGGCACTCAACATTAACAGGTTAGTGTTCAAACTGGTTGGTCTGGTGTCAGGATAATGTGACTGGGTTGGAAATGATGCTACATGTCTGTGGCATGATGCCTAAGTGCTAGACATCACTAAAAATGCCACACTGCAGACATCATAACAATATGACCAAAAACTGTTGAAGCTTCATTAAAAATCCAAGTCTCTCTCACACAAACATACTTTGTTTATGACTTGCTAAGGTCATTTTAATATATCTCTTGATTATTGCTCAAACTATGTTAAAGTCTTTGTGAACAGAATACGTTAACATGTATTTTTGCAGAACATAAAACTGATATTGTTTATTGGAGTACATCCGTTGTCAAATCTTAAAATTTGGAGGTGCATAGTTTTGCATGATGCTAAGCTCTTTTGCTTTGGAAGTAAGTAAACCTTGCATATATTCTTCAATCACATAATTCCTGCACAGAATGTATCTGTTTTGAAAAACACTGGAACTTGTGAAGTTTGCACAACACACTCATTTTCATAAATTCACCTCACTTTCATAGGCTGATCATATAAATATTATTAACTTAAGAAAGCTGTAGGATGTTAAAATAAGATTTGCTAAATTAAAAATGATAAACTGAAAAACAGTTTATGACACCAAAACCAGCTTTTTTTCATATAGGTTTCTGAGATTATATAATGAAAGGAGCAACACAAGCAAGATATTTATGTATCATAGCACTCAAAATATCAGATAACACTGAAATAGAATCAACTCAAAAAAGAAACATCAAATGTATTACTATATTACTACCTAGATTTAATATCTTCAATTACAACGAAAACTCGTTTGAAATAAATTTACTATATTACTGCAGATGATATTTTAAAAAATGATGGCATGAGAAAATATATACTGAGGTTTTGTGGTTATTACTTAATTTTATAAAAACATTTTACAGTTTATGTTACTTTCAGACCAGACACCAAATGAGAATAATTTATCAGTATCAATATATGTATTTCAAGTTTAATATAAGATAATAATATATGTATATATGTTGATATATATTGTAGATATAGAAGAATTACATTTTTGTTTAGCATAATTAATTGCAGCATATAGAAAATGATATAAATTATACAATAACATAAATCAATTACAATAACAACTGGATTGTTTCCTTAGCATCAGTAAGTGTGATACCAATGATACCAGTGTTTGTAGCAATTACTTCAATTTTACAGAGATATCAAACACAATATCATGATTCAAATCATACATTAAAATGTAAGGTTGAAATAATATTTTGACAATTTTTAAATGGATGTAAAAGCAAACTATAAATCAGATAACAACAAATAAAAAATTCCTTTGATAAGATAAAGTTCATCAAACTGTTGAAAGCTATGGTAAACTGTTTGAAATATATCTAAAATAATACAAATGAATAGTCATTAAGAAATTAATTCATTACTGTAAAATATCAGTCAATGGTACATATATAAAGGAATTATTACATTTTAATGTTAAAAAATATGAAGAAACCAAGCTTCATTTTTATTACCTGACATTATTTCATTATTGGTTGAACAGGTAATGGAAAACAGTCTATTACTAAAAATATTATTCAAGCCATAATTTAACAATGACAAAGTTGTAGTATACACCTTTAATAATGCCATTTCTTTTTAATCTAAATATTTTATTTTCAAATATGTGTAGTAGACAGCATTTAAAACAGTACTTTTGCCCTTCCACTAGTAGCATCACATGTTTGTGACTGCCTAAGCTTATGATAACTTGAATTTCGGATTAGATTTTGATAAGATTTGGTTTATGTGCTTCATTCCTTAAAACCTTTGACAAGTTTGATAATGCATTGGATATAAATATAGTAATGGGGTGGTCTTGCATCTGATTTGCTGAGCTTGTTTTCCCTACGCAAATCACATTTATGATAGGATTTGATCACATTTAGAATTTATTCATATATCATCAAGCCCCTGTACAAGTTTATAAATGAGCAATATATTAATGAGTTGATCAGTCTGTGTTTGTTACCACTCTGGAAAAGGCAGTGATCAAACATGAAATATTGTCTTATATCCCCATAATTATGGGTGGGTATTTCAGATATTGCATCTGATTGGCTGAACTTATGACCAAGCTTGGATTCTATGCTTATATCATCAAGAGAGCTGTAGTAGATCAGTTGGTAGAGTATTGAATTCAAACCCAAGGGTCTTGGGCTCAATACCCATCCAGATTAGCCCTGTTCGGCTGCCTCTGTTAGTCCTTGGAAAAGTTACTCATCATGATATAGCCAATAATATTTAAAAGTGCCATTTCAACAAATTGAATGTCATGATTTCAGAGTGTTTCAATAATGACTTATATTGATTAGTGAGGTGACCATGCATTAGACTGACTGACGGCTTCTTGTCACGACTTAAACCATATCTTTGATCTGATGGATTTATTAGATCAGGATATAAGATGTCTTCAGCTATGAGCAACAGACTGTACAAAAATTATTATATCATCATCTTTTGAATGAATTTTAATTAGGATATTTTAAGATGGGCAAAATGAACATAATGTTTGCAAGAGAGTTTACATAGAACATATTCTTACACTACTAGATCAGCCTCTTAGCCATATTTTCACCTGTTAAATTATATAAAACAGGTGAACTATATTCGACCCATCTATGCCTTTCATTTTGTCTACAGCTGAACATGTTCGTTTTAAAATAATATTAATTATATCAGTGTCTGTAATTCAATTAGTAGTAAAATATGATTTCCCCAATTTTCAACAAATTTATTCATACTTGTAACTTGTCAACTATTCTGGATGATAATCAAGCCATTCTTATATAAATGGTGCAAGATCATTCAGAATATTGTTTTTAAATGCATTCATTTGTTGCTGTGTTGATACTCATATTTTGGACTTGTCTTAATGCATTCATTTGTTGCTGTGTGGATAGTCATATTTTTGGACTTGTCTTAATGCATCCATTTGTTGCTGTGTGGATAGCCATGTTTTGGACTTGTCTTAATGCATTCATTTGTTGCTCTGTGGATAGCCATGTTTTGGCCTTGTCTTAATGCATTCATTTGTTGCTCTGTGGATACTCATATACATATAGACATATACAACTGCTGTGTTACACAGTAAACACTTATTGAATCTGACTGTGGTATTACTGAAAATAAAAGAAAACAACATTAACAATAAGCTTAACTTCTGCAAAATTTGGATATAAAATAGGTCTAGTGAAATAGGACTACTAGCAATTGCCAAGAGTTAACATTTGCAGCCAAATTTTAAGAGAAGCACAGCACCAAGGTCAAACTAATACAGAAACAGCTGTTTTGTATGGATGATGCAGTAATGTTACAGGTATGCTAAATAATAATAATAATAAGACACAGAGAAGCTCACTCAGTTTTTGTTCCTCCACTCATCCTGGTGGGTCATTTAATTTCCCCATGCTTGTTTCACTTTAAAGCACCTTATCCACAGTGATTCCATAGGCACATGCCTCACTGTTGAGAGTTTGGGAGTCATAAGTAGTTAACAGATGAATAATCAATAAATGAAGATCATTCATGGAAATATTGAGTTGTATGTGATTTAGAATTTAATATGTAATGAAGCATTGTTTCTAAATTAATTAGTTTTAGCAAACAATTCATGTAACAGAGAAGGTCCTAAGAAAAATCATTTGACAGAGCATGTCCTAAGAAACATTCATAACAAATATGATTAAAATTAGTTAAGCTTTTCCCTCTAAAGAAATTGGAAATATTTTTGTATGATTGTCATGGAAATGGCATAATTGTTAGAGGAACCATCCACAACATAATGTTTGATAGAAAATATGCTAACAAACAATCCTACCAAGTGTGATAAAAAATTGAATTTTCACCTTTTCAATAGAAGAAGTTTAAAATTACATTTTCCATATGGTTGCAAAAGAAGCCACACTATTACTGGGGAAACAACCCAAAATATAATTATAACTGATCAGTATTAAGAGACAATGCACCAAGGTTTGCCCAAAATTGACTCATTTGTTATTATGGAGAAATAGGCTTTCGATATGATATATCATGTCCTAATGAACATTTCTACCAAGCTTTATCAAAACTAACACAGCCTTTCTTGAGATAAATAAATTTTTTTTTGCACTCTGTTGATAAGGAAGCCACACCATTGCTAAGGGTGCCATCCCATAAGATTGTTTTGATAAATTATGTCCCAACAAATATTCCTACCAACTGGGATCAAAATTAAATGAAGAGAAAAAGTTTATAAAAATTATTATGTGTATGAAAACTTTAACACAGCTGTTCAGGTAATCAACTCCTATCTTCAACTACATTCCTGTAACTTTAATGTTGTGCTAAAACTGGATAGCTATCAAACATGACTATTGTTTAAACTGATGAGAGATACATGCACTCATTTTGTCATGCAATTCTTGATAGTAAATTTATCATTATATTTTACAAGCTTCATATTTATGCTTCCTGACCAAAGTCTACAGAAGTAAATTATGAAGCTCATAAATCATGACAGAAAAAGGGACTGCAAAAAGGGCAGGTTTAAAAAGGGATGTTGTACAAATCACTAAATTAAAAACTTTGCAATCATAAGAAAACTTAATGTTATGTTTTACACTTAATTTTCTTTTTAGCACATATATGCACATAGTTTTGAAAAATAAATACAGTAAGGTCCATTTGCATGTTATATTTCATTTTCTTATTAATACATATATATATTTAGTTTTGAAACGTAAATATAAGAGTGTTATTGTGCATTTATTTTTGCATAACACAAGTATTCCCTATTGTACTATAAGGGAACTTGATATTTACCGTGTGTTAAAGCTTTAGTTCTTGACAAAAACATAAATTATGTTACAAAATAATAGTAAAAACATTACAAAATAATACAATAGCCATGTA